ATGAAACTTGTTCATCAAGAAATCAAAAAGTCAAAGTTATCTTTGAAAAGTCAAACTTCTAAGACTTTGAAATTTTTCTAAGTGTTGGAAAGTTAACATTTTTTCATATTTTTGTGCCAAATTTCCACTATGATGCAAGATGATTCAAGGAAAACTTTCAACATGAAAATTGTAGATCTCAATGAGATTTAAAACATTGTAGGGCAGAACTTTTTCTAGAAATTCTTGGATTTCAAGTTATGAATTTATGAAGACATGTCAATGAAACTAAAATACTTAGTAAAATTTTGAGTATTTTAGCCAGGATTTTGATCTAACTTCATGGCAACTTTTCACCTAGTTCCAAATTGAATCTTCAAAAATGTCCAACGTGAAGGTTGTAGGGGGTTTTACAAGCTTTCCAAAATATCCAAGAAATCATTGAGATCATACTTGAGCTAAGATAATCGAAGGCAAGAATCTAGGATTTCAAACTTGTTTTTCAAGTCATTTTCATGATGAACATTTGATCCAATTCCAAGCAATGTCGCATAATCCCAATTTTCAGGCCCTCTAACTTGTGTTTATATCCTTAATCAGAAGATTTCACAAGCTTTTGAGCTATGAACCACTTGATTTAAGCTTTGTCCAATACACCTTGCCATTTAAGGAAGAAAGTCACCACTTCCATTTTGAAAAAGCAAGCTTTATGCAAAGTCAACTTGTCTTGAGCGTTGAACTTGTTCCTTTTGCACACACAACATATATAAGTCAGAAGCAAGCTTGTTTAAAGTTCAACCACTCAACAATATCATGGTACAAGCTTTGGGAAGATGTTTGTCATTGTTGCTTCAAAAACAAGTAAAGTTTTTACAACTTGATATTTCGAATTCTGACATGTTGTAGCACACAAAACCTCTTGCCTATAAATACATACACTATTTGAAAACTAAGACACGAATGCTTAAGCCCTCAAACCCTCTCAAAGTCAGGATTGCATAAAAAACATCCATTGTTGCACTTTCTGGCCAGAAATCCCAAACACCTAATCCACTCGTGCATTTCTTGGCCTTTCACTTCCAAAAGTTCCTAAACATCATCTACAAACAATCCCACACCCTGTTACACGACTGTAACATCTCCATCACCTTCCTCCATAACCAAAAAACAGAGCTTGCATCTTGACTTCTCCAGAATATTCCAGTCATCTATAGCTCAAGCTAAGCATTGCATTAGCTTTCTGGGAACTTGAGGAAGCTAACCTGATCATCACCATCACTTAAAACAAGCTCACACTCATTTTTACGATTTCCAGTTTTTTAGGTATTTTTATGAACTTCCATCTCTTCATTTAGGCATTGTTAGGATTGCATTTTCAAAGACAAAATGTAGATATCATTGCCCTGAAGCTGTACATATCCATAGTTTTCATTTATTTTTCCTGAGCTTAGAGAATTTTAAGTTTGAATATCTGGGAAAAAAATTATGTCAGATTTGGCACCATTTAAAATTCGTGTTCATCTTTGATCCATTGCTTAAGTTATTTACATATTTGAAATCATGGTGAAATTTCTAACAAGTTTGATGTTTGAAGTTTTGAGAGTGGTTGAGAAATGAACAAGTTCACAAATTCAAAAATATTGTTGTTCTCACTGTAAACGCGCGCAGGGAAGAAGATGAAGTGCATGCCTAGAATTTGTTTTGTAATATAATAACATGGTTTCAGTTTAATACATGGATGTATAGCCACCCCAATGGTAAGACAGCACACGTTTATGGTCAAGGGCGTGGGTTCAATCCCCAGCGCTGCCACTTTTTTCCCCATATTTTTCATCTTTTCTTTGTTTGAACAAGCCAGTGCGTCTGGGCCTCCTTTGATGGACATGCTTCACTTTACTGCACAACACTCCCACTTTACTGCACAAGACAGCCCATTATTATTATTTTTTTTTCTGATTTCCAAACAAAAATCATTAATGGGCCAGACTAAAAATTGTTTTTACTTTTAAACCATCCAAGTCATTTTCACACCCCTTAACTTTTATTTTTATATTTTATTTTATTTTTATTTATTATTTTTATTATTATTATTATTATTATTATTATTATTATTATTATTATAAAAAAAATCCAAAAATATATTTTTATTTATTATTTGCATTCTATATACTTATATTTTATTCCTTTTAAAAAAACAAAAAGACAAAAAATATTTTCTTAAACAAACTTAATTTCTTTTTCTTAATAAATTAATAATTAGATTTAGGTTTAGTTATTTTATTTTTAATTAAAATTAACTTAGAATTTAGGTTTTCTTTTAATTAATTAATTTCCCCATACTATTTTGATTAAACTTAAAACCTTTTCTAAAAAACCTAAAAAAATTACTTTCTTGATTAATGTTATTTCTTTTAAACTAGGGTTTTATTTTACTTATTTTTAATTAATTATTTTCTTTTAGATAATTAGGTTAAAACCATTTTCCTTAACAAAAACCAAACAAAAATTCATTTTCTTTTCCATTTATATCCTCGTACATTATATTCCTTTCAATTCTTGTACATTATTCAAGTTTCAATATGGTTGTAATAGATAATTAGGTTTAATTTCTTGCAATCCCCATTTGTAAATTTGTATACCCCATCCCCAAATGATGTAATAGCGTAGTAAATTTACTTTCCGTAATTTATCTCTTTCATATCAATGCTAGTAAATTAGGGTTTGTATGGAAAGATAAAATCAATGCTTAGAGAATCCTAATTCAAGATAAACAATGCATGCAAATCAAACACAATATTCACACATGCACCCTTAGGATAATTCTACTTGTTGCCTTATAAAAAATGATCATGTTATGCATGTGGGATGTCTTAGCAAAAACAATCAAAATACAAGATCATAGTTCGTCGATGACGCTTCAAATGCTGCCTTTGAAATGATCGTAGTCCCTCAAACAAAAATGCTAAGATATCTCACAATATTGTTATCATGACTATACGATGACCCATGCCCGTCCCTTTTACATTCAAATATAAGGCTTCTTACCAATCAATGATAAGATAGCAATATCAAAGGAAATGAGGAAATGAACAAAAGACTTTTGAGTAGGTAGAAACGTTCTTAGTTGCTTGCTCACTTTCAAAAGAAACACACACCAAACACTTTCAAAACATAAAATATTTTCAAAAGTCCAACACTTTGTATACGTTCTTACGAAACGAGAACCATTACAAAGTTCGCCTAAACAAAGACGCCTTTTCAAAATATACTTTCAAAACTACCACAAAGCATATTTTCAAACAAAGCAAGTGATCTAGCAAGCAACTAAGAACCCATAGATAACTATGGATGAAAATGGTGTTAACACCTTTCCTTTTCGTAATTTACCTCCCGAACTCAAGAAATAATCTCAAAGGTCTTTCCTGTTCTTTTCAATCTTTCCTTTTTGGATAAAAGAAAAGTCAGTGGCGACTCTTGCTAACCGCAACAATTGCGATCAAACGCAAAATATCCCAAATCAGTTCTTCCACCGTATTACAGTATGCATTGCTCCCATGTCATAACGGCATGTTCACATGCTCGCCAGGACCCTTCCAAACATCCATCCTCCTTTTACGAAGTCATAAACATATTCAATGTGTATAACAAAAGCTTCAAGGTGGTAGCAAAGCAGGATTATTAGCCTACTTATCAATGAGACATTGTTTGTCACAATGTACACATGCCAAGGAAGAAAAAAGGCCACCATGATAGCACACGTATTTGAACCGAAATGGATACGACAAACAAAATGCTAAGATTATGTAGTACATATCGTCAGCCCGGACACAATCGAAAAAATTATCCAAATATTAGAGCAAGCGCCGCAACATAATTATTGAATGTGTTGTACCCCAAAATTTTCCCTCATGCTTTTAACCTTAATTGGCTTGTGTTTCACATTCATATGCATATTCCACTAAGTCATAACATTCACAATCATTCATTTCATTGAGCTCCTAAGGCACGGGATCAAGAAATTTCTTGAGATTTTGGCTTTCTCTACTCATATGTGATTCATTTGGCTATATTTTTACTCAAGTTAGCAAGAGTTCGAATGCATATCATCATGAGCCTATATCTTTATTAAGATTCATGAAGATACAATATTATCTCTTTCAAAAGTTTTCAAGAGCATATATATATATATATATATATATATATATATATATATATATATATATATATATATATATATATATATATATATATATATATATATAAAAGGTTACAACACATGTCAAAACATCCTGCAGGTAAAAAAAATCCAGTATCCACCTTTTGGAAATACAACTAAACTTCTATCTCAACTCATTATATCACCATAAACCCAGAGAGACCTTGCATTTATTTTCAGTTAAACGCCACATAGTCAAAATCATGATTTAACACGTCTTTCAAATCTCATTGAAGACATGATGCCTCATGAGCATTTGAATTTGGAGAAAAAAAGTTGACAAATATGGAAGAATTTGCATGGAAGCTGTTCCCAAATTGTTGTGCAACATCAGTCAAAATTTTCCAGGTTATTGAAACATCATATGAAAATTAATACTTATCATGAAAGGCTATTCACAGTTGCAATTCTGGACCAAGATCGTGGACTAGTATACCTAAAGCAACTGTCAAATTTGCTCCTCTTGTTCATTCAACAAATTTTGAGATTTAATTTTCAAAGTTATTAAACTAAAAGCCTCAAAATTTGACAGTGCTAATTGAGCAACAAACTAATATGTACTTAGTGAGAAAACCATTTGGGCAAAGGAATTGTTTCACCTATCATCATTTTATTAGGAAGAATTTTGAAACATTGATGGCTTATAGATAGATTAATCATTTATAGGCAAGGCTGCATATCTTGCCACACATCTCAATTGTATAAATCAATTAGCCAACTAGTTCTTCTTTACAGTTACTCACTCATATATATTTATTCTGCTCACTGTTGCTTTTATGTTAGAAACTCTTTGAAGCTACACCATTTATCTTGCTACCATCTCTGAAATTGTAACATCATTGACTGAAGGAAATTTTAATCTTGAGTTAGATCCGTGTTTTTTCATCGAAAAAGCTGGCATTTTGGGAGTATCGACGAGCGTGCCTTCGTTCTTGATAAGTGAATCAACTTCTAACATAGAAGGTCTATCTGCCGAATTATCTTGAACGCACAAAAGACCTATCTGCATGCATCTCATGATTTTACAATCAGATGTTGAATCATCCAATTTAGGGTCCAAAAACTCCACACCTCTCCCTTCCATCCATAGCTCATATGCCTACAAAATGAAATAGCAATTTCCTTTTATGTTTTAATTTCAAGAAAATTACTAAACATCCTGTGTAAGATTGATCGAATGTGGTAAAATAATGACAGATGAAAGAAGCGTGAAATTCTGTCACGTATTATTAGAAAAAAAACTTTTCTTATTTCACATAAATAACTTACGTATTCTAAAAGGTTCATATTTTCATCTGGACCGTAATAATGTGAAGATCTCTTCCCACTTATGATTTGCAAGAGAAGGACTCCAAAACTATAAACATCATACTTGAGTGAGTATATGCCTTTTCTGACATACTCGGGAGGTACGTATCCACTAGAAAAAGCCATTATGAATAGTTAGAGACAAGGTGGGGATAAAAACAACTATAACAAACACATTATTAATTATGATTCACTTACTATGTTCCGACAATCCTACTTGTATTTGCTTCTAGTTCATTCTTTCCAAAAATTCTAGCAAGACCAAAATCAGCTATCTTAGGATTCATCTCATGGTCTAACAAAACATTACTAGCTTTAAGATCTCGGTGGATTATAGTAAAATTTGAATACTTTTGGAGATAAAGAAGGCCTTGAGTAATCCCTTCAATGATATTCACACGCTTCCTCCAATCTAGAAGAATTGATTTCCTTGGATCTGCATTAAGTTCAATTCTGAACTATTAGTCACACAAAAGTGTTATAGAGGAACAAAGCAGTTAGCATGATTTCTATGGACTTGATGTTAACAGACCAAAGAGAAAATGATCTAAGCTTTTATTTGGGAGGTATTCATAGATGAGAAGCTTCTCATTCTTTTTCGTGCAGTAACCCAAAAGCCTAACTAAATTCACATGTTGTAATCTTGCTGTGAGTGTGATCTCATTTTTGAACTCTTCAAGTCCTTGATTTGAAGTTTCTGACAGTCTTTTCACGGCTATTTCCTGTCCCTTTCGTAATTTTCCCTGACAAAAATCAAATCATAAGTATTCAGTCTTTCGTTGATTTGCCTCAGTAATTGCAAACTTTGCTAATCTTCAAGTGTTACCTTATACACTGCACCAAATCCACCTTCTCCCAGCTTATTTTCTGTTGAGAAGTTATCTGTTGCTACTTTAATTGTGAGATAACCAAATACTATCAAATCAGAAGCATTACCACTAAGATCTTCTTCAGCTGCTGATAAATATATACTCAGTTTGTATATCATTCTTGTAAGAATGGCCACTGTTCCTGCTGAAATATATGAGATAAATAAAAACAGAATTTATTTATTATTCCATTTTATCACTTTATGGTTGAAATACTATATAACACTGACACCAATGAAAAAATGTGTGTCCGTATTAGTGTCGGACAGACACTGACACGACACCAACACTTATAATTATCTTCAATTAATTTACTTTTTCAGATTATTATCGGTGTCAGCCGTGTCCGATATCTATATCTGTTTGGATCCGTGCCCATGCTTCTTATTTGAAAGTAACTTATATCCATACCTTGGTAGTAGCAGCAAAATACTATTCCCAAGAGAAGTGCAGCAGTCAAAGTTGTAAGCAGAACAATTATTAGCAACCTTCTGTTATGATGGTCTTCATCTACTTCTTGAGCTAAATAAATTGATGCAAATGTTAATCCAGAACTACAACATCAATATGATATAATGATTTATCCAATAGAATAACAAGTAAAGAGTTCAAAAGAGGGTTGAAAAATTTACCTGCCGTTGAAAGGACCCAATTGTCATCATTCCCAACTTGGAACACAATGTAACCAAGTAATCCATTTTTCTTTGCATAAGAAACTTTTTCTTTAATAGCCTCCACATCATCAAAATTAACCCAAGCAATGGAAGCAATAGTGAAATAATTCACCATAAAAGTATCATTATAGCTTGAAACTAGTCCATCTCCAAAGCTTTTAATGTAACTTTTTATCCACTTATAACCCATAGAACCATCCTTAGTAATAGCAGGACCAGAAGCTGGTTTTCCAACACCCCCTTCACCTTGTTCCATAAGTCTCCATGCATATCCATGATAAGGTAAACCAATTACAAGTTTGTTTGAAGAAAACCCTCTCTTTCTCCACTCTTTGATACCAGAATCAGTGTTTTCCCAACCAGATGAACCATATAAAGCGGCATGAAAACCTGTGACACTCTCCTTTTCAGGAAGATAGTAATCATATGCAACAAAATGAACCCAATCTAAATTTTTCTGCATAGATTCAAAAGGGTAACTAAAGGAATCTGAAGCTTTGAGATAATAACCCGCCATCACCAAAACTAAATCTGGTTTTTTAATGTTTCTTGCTTCAGAAGTTATTGCGATTCGCCACTCTTTCAAAAGGGTTGCAAAATTTGCAAGCTCTTTACCTAGCTTTGGCCTGGCCCCACGAAAGTCTATGCCTTGAAATCCATATTTTCTTGCTGTTTTGATAGAAGAGTCAATGAATGATTTTCTGTAGGAAGATTGGTTTATCATTGAGCTAAGAAGTGAAGAGTTTTCTCTTCCACCATTGATTGATAGAAGAGATGTAACATATGGGTTTTGAAACTTCACTGAGTTGGTGAAGGATGAGAACTTGAGTTCCTGAGAAGAGTTAATAAAGACGTTGTAGTTCGTGGAGTTTATAAAAGCAAAAGCACATAAGAGATGTGTGAAAAGTGTTGATTTAATTTCTGAAGCTGAAATTTCACTTTCGGTATGGTAATAACCTGCTCTAACCCAGGAAGTTGTATCTGCAAATGAGTCAAATGTGAGAGGGAAGAAGACAAGGACACTAAGGAAGAAAGCTAAAAGTTTTGAAAACATTGTATTGCTTAAAATGACTTCTATTGTCTCAATACTCTTAACCTTATGATGTGAGACAAAAAGACAACAAAAAGATTATGATATACGGTTGTTATTAAAAGCAACTCTATTTGCTACAAAATATTCAATATTGTACAACTAAGCTTGCTTGAAGAAATCAAACATAACATTAACTTAACATAGATCTAACCTATATCTACTGAATATAGCTATAAGATTGTAAAAGTAGAAGATGTTAAGAAATGAAGCCATCAAGAGTTGATCACTCGCCACTTAAGCAATCTCAATTGTAACTGATTGTCTAACTGTTTTTTGTTTGTAGTTAGTTAGTTAGCACTTTTTTGTACCCTAATTTTTGCCGCCTAAGATTCCTATATCATATCATATCAACTTGATCATAACAAGATCACATTAGGGTTGGTTCTTCCTCTTTTTCTATCTCCTATCTTTAAGTTTGCTCTTAAGGAATCTCCAAGCACCTTAGTTGTGTATTTTGTATATGTGTTGTTGACTAATTTCTAATCAAAATATAAAAAAAATATTTGTCTTTGTCTTTGTATATTTTTGTTTTGTAGTTACTAAGTCGAAGCATCTGACAAATAAGGATTTCTGGTATTATTTTCCTAAAATCTCTATTTGCACAGGAAAAATTAACAAAAATTCATTTTTTTCAATGATGTAATCGATTGCTCTTAGAGTGCAATCGATTGCACATCGTGAAAATTTGAAAAAAATCAGCAATTTTAAACTTGTCAAATTTTGGCTCCAATTTTTCTTCATTTTTGAAAGATATACCATTAATTCAAATTTTAGTGCCAATCTTTCATTTTTAAGAAGAATTATCATTAATTCAAATTTTGGCTCTAATATTTGAAAGAATTATCATTAATTCAAATTTTGGCTCCAAGAATCAATTACCAAATTACCACTAATCCCAATCCTAAAACTCTATAAATAGAACCCTCATTTCATTCAAATTTCAAGCTTTTGATAGCCAAATCCACCTTGCTAAAAAATCTCTCAATTCTCTCCATCTATCAAATTCACTTAAAGCTCCATTTTCAAAAAGTTAGTAAGCTTTGCATTGAAGCTTACTAATCTTTGAGCTAAACCTTCATTCAAACACTTTTTCTTTATCAATTCTCTACATTCAAGCTTGAGCAATTGATTCTTGTGGTTAAATTGAAACAAATTCTTGAAGTTGTTTTGATAATTCTCTAGATCTACCTTTGGTAAGTTGGATAATTCATCTTTCACAATGTGACCTCTTGTTGATCTTTGGGTTTGATTCATTGAGCATTATTTTGTAATTCCAATGGTGTTATTTTCTCATAATTTGATGGAATTTTCGTGCTCAATTGGATCCATGATCATAAGGTATTTGATGGAAAGGTTGAACAAGAATTTGGCCTTTTAAAATGCTGTTTTGCTGTCTGTAACAGCGTGCAATCGATTGCAGTAACAGTGCAATCGATTGCACAAAAGCAATTTTGCGTAGATTTTTGAAAATTGTACTGTGTAAATCGATTTACACAGTAATGAAATCGATTTACACAGGGACAAAATGCATTTTTTTGCCTTGTTTTGGGGCAGCTTTGATCCAAAGTGCTTTTTCTACTCACTCCTTTTGATTGTTGGTTTGGATTGCAATTTTAAATGTCCAATTTCTCTTTAAACTCAATGGACTTTGTGATGTAGATGAAGTTGGATAAATGTTCATCAATTCAAATCTACCTAAGAGTGAATTATTTAATTCATTTTTTGTGCTTTGGATTAATGATATGTTTAGTGCTTTAATCCATATAGAGGAGTGGTTGAATTTAAAGATGAAAGAATTTTGAGGTGGTGATCCAAATTAGCTTATCATTCCCCTCCCTCTTCATCTTATCCATTTCTTTTTTAATTGTGCTACATGTTAAAGGATGGTGATCTCTATATCATTTATACAAACATGATGTACATAGATTGCTATTGACCGGCCTCAAAATAGGTGTGACTTCTACATAAGTCCACTTACGATTGCTTAACATAGCGCTAAATTTTGTCCCGATTCGGATAAATGATCATTCGTGGCCCAAAACTATATTTGCAAGCCCAAGTATGTTAATTTGATCTCTTTGATCCAATAACCTTGAGATTCATTGTATGGAGGCTTTGGTTCTACCAATCCTCTAATAGATCTTCATCAATTTTGGTCAACGCGAATCACTTAAACATCGTTGATCATTAAATGTTACTTTTGAGGATTCCAAAATGGATGATATACTTGACAAAAAGCAAATGCAACTTGTTGTATGAAGGCTTTGGTTCTACCAATCCTCTAATGAGTTCCAAATGCAAGTTTCAAGATGGTCATCCAACTAACCACTAATTTCTAACAATTGACTTTACTTTATGCTTTTATTTTTATGCTTTATGTACCATTTACTTTTAGCATTTTACATTTCATGCCATTTTTATTTTTTTGCTCACTTGAGCATTTACTTTTATGTCATTTTTATTTTTCTCACTTGAGCTTTTCTTTTTCTTTTGAAGACACTTAATAATCAACATGAACCATAAAAAATATTTAATGGTACTTGGACTATTTGGTTACTATCTTTGGCATTATGGAGCATGGGACTATTTATTGGACTTAGGATTAGAGACCTTGGCCTATCTTGGATACTTTGTGACTTTATCTGATTATTTTGTCTGGAGTTGTTGAGGTTTACCTCAAGACATTGGGTTGTTTGTTTGTTTTGTGTGCAGGTTATTGTGATTACACCCTTTGTTTGTAATCTGGAATTCACCAGTATACAGTCGTTACTCTGTCCAATTTTTGTGAAGACTTAATACACTTGAAGTTTGGTTCTCTCAAGAGGTCTAGTATCTTTGCTTGCTTGGTTTTAATCCGAAGAATGAGAATTCTATATTGACTCATAATGTCAAGTATTGGCTTCTTGTTGGTTAGATGGTTCTTATCCCTAAATTTTACCTTATGCTTTAGGATAGTCTCTTCATCTCCTCCCATCTTCTTTAATTTCAAAAATCTTCTCCCTCTTTTTGAAAACTCTTCTTGTTTTGAAACTTGAACCATTTTCATAATAAACTTGGACTTAGGTCCATGCATTTTCAAAACATTTTCATAAATAAACCTTCAATCAACTTAATAATACCTTGACATTTTTTTTGTGACAAGACTAAAAGTCAACCAATCTCATTTCAAATCATTTTTGCCACTTTGGCTTTTTACCTTTAAACTTTTCTTAAAAGGTTAGACTCTTGTCAATCCTTGTAGTGATACAAACAACTATACTTCTACAATATGTAGTGAAGTGATATATTTTCCACTTGGGTGTTGAGTGAGGCATTGTTGATTTTAAAATCCAAGCCATATCCTCCACTTTGAGATGATGCAAATTCTCCTTTCTCATGATTGTGGGTAGTAAGTATGTTTTCCACACGGACAATGACGATGATGTCTTATATCTTAAAATCAACCAACACACTTATGTTTCAAATTTTTAAAAGATGAACTACGTGTACCCTGATCCCCTATTGCACGAAAGGTGGTACATAGGCACTAAAGGTTCACAACCGCGGCGGGTGCAAAAATCATAAAAATATTTCTTTTCTCACCTCCACCATCCATTTTATATACAACACATTTTTAAAGCCAAAATATACAGATTTTATAAAGAGGTTCCTGCGGAGTACCGTAGATGTTTAGGGTGCTAATACCTTCCCTTTGCATAACCAACCCCCTTACCTTGAATCTTTCCCCCCTCTTTTTGGGTTATTTGCTCTTTTCCCATTCCTTTGGAAACAATAAAGCGCGGTGGCGATTTTGATTTTGATTTGTATAAAGTCTAGTCAATCCAATGGCTTAGTCTTGAACATTTCTACCGCTACAGAAAAAATGGCGACTTCACTGGGAAAGTCTTGACCTCTTGTTGGTCCATCCCTAAGTGGGTTGAGCCTATCTTTGTTTATATCTGTATATGTGTTATTGTGTTTATGTTTTATATTTTTTATATATGTTTGTTTGGATTTTCCTTGTTTTCAGGATGCTTGGTGATTACTCATAAGTCCTATACCCGGACTTGGGAAAACTTTAAGATAGGACGGGCGATATAGTCATGTTAATTTTGAGGGAGTAATCCCAAAAAAGGAGGCATGAGATCCCCCACTCAGTGGAGGCCCCTTTGACTGTAGTGTCGTTTACCGAGTAATCAGGAAGACGTACTGCTTTCGACCTGGAAGCCCGCTGAAGCTGAGGACCGTAGATTACCTAACCCGTCTTGGTCTTTTAGGTGTAGTGCGGAAGCTATGACAGAGTAATCCGGAAATAGTTGTCACGCGATACTACGCTCGGACGAGTCTTTCTTGAGAATATTACTAATTACCGAGTTAATCGGGAAGTTGGTAATATCTGAAGGAAGGATGTAGACTCTGGGAACCTCTAGAACCTTGTTCGGCAGGTGATAAATTTTTAGACCAACACCTTATGGGTAGTACCTTCGACCCCATGCTCGTGACGTTGAACCTATGAACCCTATATGTGTGATCTTGTGTGTGATTGTTGCATCATGCATCCATGCACTCATAAGCATCTTTTGAAGAAAACAATATTTCAAGGGATTTAAAGGTTGACTATTTGTGAATATCTCAGGTAATATTAACCATGGACTCTGGAAAAAGAAAGACCGGAAAATACAGTTTCAAGGATCCCAAGATAGATGAGTTGATCAGTCTAATTCCAAAGATCGAGTGTTCTGCAGACTTTCGGAAGAAGTATGGATCCATTATTTCTCTCATGAAGCTGAAGATGAAGGAGGGTATTCTCTCGACCTTGATCCAATTCTACGATCCGGTGTATCACTGCTTTACTTTTCCCGATTATCAGTTGATGCCTACACTGGAGGAGTATTCCTATCTATTGGATTTACCTGTTACCGACCGTGTTCCTTTTACTGGTTTGGAGGGTGAGCCAAAACCACATGAGATTGCTGCTTTGA